AATTCAACTTGAGGTTCTTGTTGGAACCAGAATAAAATCCTCTCTAAACTCATGTGGAAAATAATGTCTCTTGAGATTTTTTGAAGCCAGCTCTTGACTGGGGGGAGCTTGAGGCAAGCTCTGGGGGAGGGCAGTGTCATTAAACCCTTTGCTTTCAGTGTTGTGAAGACACCAGGATCTTTCCTGGGAAGTATAAAAACTTCCAACTCTACAAACACTTCTTGTTTGTTGCAGCCCACACAACAAAGGTGACACAACAGCACAGAGCAGCAGCCAAAACCAAACAGGAGTGGAAAATAGTGACAACACTTTATCAGGTAGTAATTGTCAAATCAGGGCCTGCTTGCTGCACACACACACACACATGGGTTTACAAGTTTGCTGTAGTTTAATTTACTCTTGGGCATAGCTTGGGAGTGTTTCTAGAATAAAGCCTTTTGGTGCAGCAGATAGCTTGGGAAAGGGTTTGCCTCTGGGGGAAGGAAACAGTTTCAATCCCTCCTGTGTCTCTTGGAGGAATTTTTAATTTTAAAGCATTGATGATTATGCTAATTAGTGCTTACCCTCAAATGCCAGTGGAATATAAATGTTGATAGTAGCTAAAACATACTGCAAATGTGCAGCAAAGTCTTCCTCCAGAGAGTCATCTGCGTTCATGATGGCTCAGCTGGGAAGAAGCAGCGTTCTTCACATGGAAAAGCAAAATAACTGCCTCTTCAATCCATGTCATCCCAAGGTGGCACTTCTGGACTCCTCTGGATAGACATGAATCAACTGTTACCTTATCACTTGGGCACACTTTTCCATGATATGTGTTAAAATGTCCAATTTAGTTCTCAGGTAAACAGGAACCTTTCCCTTTGATCGGGACTATGAGCAACATAGTCCAAGGACTGCACAGATGGGTGGATTTCAATGGATCAAACTGACTTAGAGCTTGGTAATCCAACCCCTGCCGATTCCCTCTGGAATCACGGACTCCTGTATAGCTCACTTAAATCTACTGACAATAAAATGGTTTCTGCAGATCTCCTCGAAGCAGTGCACAGAACTCCAAGGATTCATGGCCCATAGATTGAAAAGAGTCCTAGAAAAACACAATGCCTGTGCTTATTTTTCTGAAGATCATTCATTAGCTTTCCCGTCAGCGCTGTCATAGGATGAAATCTTGGCCCCAGCTGAACTCAACAGGAATTTTGCCACTGACTTGAATGGAGCTAAAATGTCACTCCTGCTATTTGTCAAGTCAATTATATCCAGACAATACTTTAACATCTGGCTTCAAGTGAACACAGAGAACAGTTCACTCCCTCGGTCCCTGAAGACAACACAGGACATTGGCCTTCTCCATAAAAATGAAACATTTGTTCTTGGCAAGCTGCTGTAACAGAGAGGGGATCCCTCCAGTGGCACTATCAGAACCCCATCCCTGTTCCTTGGCCTATAGTTATTGGCAATGGCATCAATTGATTCTCTGTCACTTTCTGGGAAGAATTTCAAAAGCACCCATCTACTGTTGCAAGTCATTCTGTTGTAAAAACTTTGTTTAGAACAGCAGATCTGGCCTCATCTGTGGTTTCCCACAGACAAGGGGGGTTTTCCCCCTGTTCATCTTCCATTTCCCAAAGCACTGGAATATTCCTGGTTGGGTCAGGGAGGAGCTTTTCTATCTAAACCCTTCCCTGAATATGGTGGTCAAAGGTAAAGATGAAGGATAACTGGTTGAAGAACAGCTGGTATGAGGTTGTTTCCCTCTCTAAAAACCCACCTGAGACGAGACAATATTAATTTATTGCAAAATATCCAGGTGAGGTCAACGACAAGTGGGGCACACCTTTCCCTGGCAGAAAAAAATAAAGCTACGGAGGTATTTGATCAGTGGTGACTTTAAAAATCTATTTAAATGGAAAGAATCAGAGAATCATGGGATGGTTTGGGTTGGAAGGGACCTTAAGGACCATCCAGTTCCAACCCCTGCAATGGGCAGGGACACCTTGCAGTGGACCAGGTTGCTCCACATCCTGTCCAACCTGGTCTTGAACACTGCCAGGGATGGGGCAGCCACAGCTTCTCTGGATATCTCTGGGCATCCACAACTTCTCTGAATCACTGGATGATGTCTGGAAGAACAGGGATGTACAAAGAGAGGGGCTTTTATGCATCAGGTGGACAAGGGTTAAGGTTCTTGTTCCCAGCTCCCAGTACTGGTGAGTTGCTGCACTGCTCACCTGTGCAAAACCAGCTTCCCTGGGTCTCATCCCATCCCCTGGGAAGCAAAACCAAACTCAGCCTCCAGTATCTGATGAGCCTTAATTCCCAGCACTTAAATAATTAGCTTCTCAAATGTACGAAAACAACTCTCATTTTCTGGATTAATGAAGGGAGCTGGGTTCCACTGAGCACAGCTATTATGGAGCTGCTAATGCAGCGTTTGATTCCATCGCCTGCCACTGAGCACAGAGCGATCCGGGCTCCTGGGAGAGCGGGAACACAGGGAGAGCAACGCTGGAGGGTTACAGGGGAAGGCAGCGGGGGAAACCCTGGCAGTACCTCGTGGGTTTGTGCAGAGGGAGGGCTGGGTTTATTCCTACGTCTGCTGAGTTTCATCTGGGTTTGTGAAGATGCCACATAACCCAAAGGAAGGCGAAAGCTCAGGGAGGCACTGAGGGTGGGTAGTTTGCTTTAATCACGGGCCAGGCAAAGGCAGTTTCTGTAGGAGAGTAACAGAAATGTAACACACACAGAAGCCTAAATCCGAGGTAGCAACACAGCAGCTTCTGCCCAGGTGCTGTAGCCAGAGCAAATGGCAAAGAGCTGGAAGGCTACAGTGTGTTTTTGTCCTCCCTGCTCATTTGGCTTAGGAGCTGGTAGAAAACTGGTTGCAAAAAGTCAGTCTTGCCTCATCTTGGCAGGTACAGGCATATAAACCCATCAAAACAAACTTCTGTTCTTTCTTTTGTATCTCAGCACAGGACTGGCAATTTCGCTTTTTCCCCAAGGGGATGGTGGAGGGACTGAGCAAATGTCAGAAGGGACTGCAAAGGCTGCTTTGCTCTGCCCTGGGAGGTTTAAACTGAGGCTACATTATATGAACAACTCAATGCCATTAGGACTGTTCCCTTTCTGTCTCTTTATCACTGTTTTGCTGCCTTCCCCCAGACTGTTTCACCCAGGCAGAACCAAAAGCCCACACTGAACCTCTCTGTTCTACATCGAATGGGGGACAGAGAATAATTAGGAGATCAGGGATTTTGAGATGTAACTGCAGGCATTCAACAAAGTCATGCAGCTTCTCAGACAACTGGAGATGAAAAGGCCTGGATGTTGATTTCCTGAGATTGTTCAACCATCAAAAAGCCCTTCAGTATGTGTCATTCTCCCCCATCCATTAGTACATCCAAATTAGTGGTCCTGCAGTTCTGGTATGGATTTGGAGCTAAATATCTTCTTACACTGATGTTCTTCTCCAACAATACGCCCTCGAGTACCTAACATCTGTCACAGCTGCAAACCAAACCACACCAAAACTTTTGACCTCTGTAAGAAAAGCCTGGAATTGTAAGGGAAGTCCTGGGTTAATCAAGAACCTTGGTGCAGACATGCAGCAGGAATTGAGAGATCAAGAAGGAAATCCATGGAATTGTGATGGTTTTTGCAGCAAAGTTTGTGCTTCGTAGCCCAGCTCTCAGAGCCAGGGACCAGGGACACAAGGGATGCTCAAGAACTTCAGCACCTTCCCAGATCAGGGGCAGTTTTCTAGAGGTGGGATGCTGCTTCTTATGTCAGGGCTTGCTGGGCTGCTGACTTCAGAGGAGTTACACCCCGTGTAATTTAGCTGAAGCAATCAGGAAATAATTATTACAGTGGAGAGTTAAAAGATGGTAATTAAACTGTATAAATAAATAACAGAAGTGACTAAAAAAGTCCACCCAAAGCCTACTTTTGGAGCACTATTTAATGTAAATGAATCACTTAGTGGACAATGCAACAATCATCTGTTCAGCTTCTATTCATTATCAAAAACAATACAGAAGGATTGGCAGGGAATAGCCGTGTGCCAGAGGGAGCCCTTTAGGAAATACCACAGAATCTGGACTGGCTTTTGTCTGTTCTTCTATTGTGTTCTGACAATGCTTTGCTAATGAATGTCCAACGTCATTTCAGTTGTCTTTTTCTTTTTTTCCCCCCAAAACCAAATCAGTGGTAATCTTGGCCTTCCAGGCTTGCTTGTTCCTGTTGGGAAGACTTCCACACATTATGTATCAGTTTTACCAAGGTCCAAGAGGCTGAGGATGTTATCTCAAGTCCCCTGGGAAATCCCACTGTTGGTGATGAGACAAAATCCTTTGATTTGGGCAAAAATCCATTAAGTTTTAAAGAAATCATCACCTATCTTTGAAACATGCAGCACTTGAGTGAGTTGTATACTCAGTAAATTCATCTTTTGTTACTCAATTTGCAAGGACAATAACCTCATTCTGAGAAATAAGCTACTTTTCCATTGGGAGTATTTACTCCCAGCGTTATCATGGGAGTTATCTGCAGGAAACTGCAGGCTAAAGGGAATCCTCATTAGGGATCTGGGGAACTAAACCTACCAGGCTGACACCTATGCCAGCACGAACAGAGGTAAGAATATATAAAGCACTAAAATACTGTCAATTATGCCTCAGAATCGATGGTCCACTGACATTCACATCTCTTTAAGAGTTACTGGTTTGGAATATCTCGAAGTTCAAACCTGAAGGTGTAGCAGGTACCCAGAGGGGTTCCCTTTCTTACCTGGTTCCCTGGCTCACTCCTACGTTGCTGCTGCAACTTTCAGCTCCTGCAGTGTGGCTGGTTCAGCTCTGTGCAGCTCTGCAGTGTAAAATCACTGAAAACAGTCTGAGCTAAATAAAAAGGGCAACAATGATACACATAAGAGAATAAACAGGCTTTGCTGTTGAGAAACTGCATTTGGAATGGCACACAGACTCGACTTCTCAAGGTTGTCTCTGGGGTTATTTTATTTAGTATTAAAGAAAACCTTTGGCTCTGCAGCAAATCTCTGCAGCCAGAGATGATTTCTGTCAAATCCAGAGTATGTGGGTTTCTAGTTAACGCTGTCTAAAATTTGAGATAGAAAGGCACACTTCATAAAATCTTGCTCTGAGCTCAGTCTTCCAAATAAAACAGACAGAGATGGCATCAAACCCCCCAGGGCTTAGGCTTGCAAAATCCCCACCAAGTTCACTGCAGGCTTGGTGAGAAATTCGGGAGTTTTACTCACAGCGTGAACTCAGAATGCCACTGGAGGTGGGACTCGAGGGCTGACAGCCCCTCCGGGGACTATTTCTGATATTACTATTTCCAGCTTCTTCCTGTCCTTCATCTGGAGATCATTACTGCTGGAACAGGGGCTGCAGAATGGGTGGCACATCTTCTCTCCTCCGTGTCACCACGACGCTCAGAATAGCAAAGGAACCTGAAATAGTTGGTGGTTTAGATTAATACTCTGGGCTGTGAGTGGTGATGCACAGTCCAGCTGCCACTTTGGGGACAGGACTGAGACCTCTGGGGCAGCAACATCTGAAATCAGTCCATCTGGAACTGCTACAGCTCTTTGGGGGACACCATTAGTATCACAACTACATCAAGACACATCATTCTTGGTACCTACTAGCTCGAGTTGCCATGTAGAGTGGTGAAAATGGGTGGTTATAACACCCTAAAACTGCAATCCTGAATGCTGCTCTTTCACTAAAAAAAGTTTATCACTGGCCAGGGGTTGGGCAAGGAGGGAAAAGTACTGAGGTTCTGATAAACAATAGTCCGTTTTGCAAGATCGTTGCCACCATTTGCACTAATTGACACTTTTTCGTAGCAATCTCTGTTAAAAGACAAAAGACCTTAAGATCTTCTTTTGGAAGGAAAAAAAACCCCTGACTATGTTAATGCCCGGTATATTAAAAGCATAATTCTAATATTGGGATACACTGGGAAGAAACTGGAGTAATTACTTCCCTTTGTTTAATAAACTTCCTCTAAAAGATCCCCCAAAAATGTATTCAGTAAAATTCTGTTCCTCCTTGCTCTGGTATAGAATTTTTTTTTTTGTTAGTCCCTTGAGTAGTTGCCTAAGTCAGGTCTCACTGTAATTACACACCTCGCAGCAGTGCGGGAGACTTAATTAAGAGAGTCACTGTAGGTGTGTTGTCAGACAGACAGAACCCAGTGCTGCTGGAGGAGGCATTGGGGTCCAGCTGCCGTGGGCATGTTTGGGAAGAAAATCCAAGTTTGCAGAGGATTTTGAGATCTTCCTGCAAACAGCAGCGTGGACACACCCAGCAGCTTCTATTCAAAGCCCCTCAACTCCATCATCAGGGAGTCTGTGGTTTTAAAAATCTCTCTGTACTCACCAGGAGACGCTCTGCCACACGGCAAGATTTCAGATTCTCTCCTCCCCTCCTCCCAAAAGTGTGACTCACCAGTTTCAAACGGTGACATTTCATTCCCAAACTATTCCGGGAGCATCTGGCTCCACAACACATGGGAATGTGGGGAGAAGGGAGGAGGGGAGGGACAGCCAGCTCGCACAGTGAAAACCACTCATTCTCTCCCCCACACAGGTATGTTGCTTTTAAATTGCAGAACCACATAATTTGGGACACGCTGGCAAATTCCATCGGAGGAAAACAATAAAACAAGCACAATTTCGGGGGGAAAAAAATACCTTTACGAGCCAGCGATGCAATTCCCTGTCAGCCAGGAAGGACTGGGAGAGGGGTTTGCTCTCCAGATGGAATAGGTGTGAGGAAATGCCCTGTCCCCACTTCTTACTATCCATCCCTGCAGCTCTGGGCGAATTTCTGTGTGATGCAGACCCGGGGTTTAGTCACCACCGATATCTTACTAATGACTAACAAATGTATGTGCAGTGGGACGACGACAACAGGGGGGGTGACAAATAAATCACTGTCAGCTCCCGGTCCCGAGAGGAGTTTTGTGTCACGCCGCAGCTCAGCACCGCTCCTGTCCCTGCTCTGGGGACGTCACTTCCATGAGCACAACATTCCACACGTGAGGGGCGGGATGCCGCGGGCACCGGCCCTGGCAGCGCACACATGGAATCGCTGCCACTGGGGCAGTGCCAGGGGCAGGAGCGAAATCCCTCCTGGCCTCAGAGTGTGAATCTGTGCACGGCTGATTGGGTGGGAGCAGCCATCCAGCCCCATTCATTAATGTTTGTAAAATTCCACTGGGAGGGAGATGGGCGCGATGGGAGTGCCGGGGTGGCCGCTGGCAGCCTGCGAGGGCACTGGGAACACCAGCCTGGCACTGAGGTGCAGGGACCAGCAGCCTGGCACTGGGGGACTGGGACCACCAGGCTGCAGGGACAAACCTCGGCCAGTGCCGAGGGGTGAGAGCCTCAGGGAGCCGTGGAAGGGGCCCAGCACCTGGTTATCCCATGTGTGTGCCGGATTGGGATGCTGGGAACAGGCTGTCACGGCTGATGGCAGCACAGCCCTTCCCCGTGCATGTCTGCACAGGAAATGTTTGATTACAGTTTCATTCATCTCCTCTGCTGCCGTTCTAAAAGGGGAGGCTGTTCCTGTGGACTTTGGGACCTCGTGCTTGCAGATCCAATCCTATTCCCATTCTTTCCTTGGGGGAGCCCCACCGAAGTCAGTGCTCGTTCAAGGAAGAGGAGGCTGCTCCCTGTTCGATCCTGGCATGCAGCAGCAATGACCTTGGCTAGGTAACCATCCCCTGAATACAAAGATGGATATAAAAGCAGCAATTCCCTTTTTTAAAAACCAACCAGTCTTCTGCTAAGGTAGGGAAAGGCAGTGGTTTGTTAAATAAATGCGTCTGTCAGAGCTGGATTTTTTTTTTTCCCAGCTTCCCTAAATGCCCTTCACCAGCAGAGAGGGGGAGGGGACCTGCTCTTTGAAGCCTTTTCCTTATGGGAATAGAAAACACGGAAAGAATTCAATTCTCTGCCACAGCCCAGCAGCACAGATCCAGGCTTCAAACCCCAAAGCCCAGGAGCCCGGCGGGCTGGTGGGTGCCTGGAGCCTGCAGTACCACAGATTAGCCTGGTTCGATATCCAGCATCATTAAGTGTCCCCCGTGGTGTTAAACACAGAAAGGAGAGGGAAAGGAATGGAGACTGGGGAAGAAAAATTAGGAAATTCTGTGCAGAAAGAACTGCGTTTATCCAACTCTTTGATCAAAGCACCATCTAGTGAAGAACAGGCTCCTTGCAGCTGGCAGCGCTCTGGGCAGCTGCACCATTTGCCTTTCACCACAGGTTTGCTTCTAAAAAACCCAAATATCACCCAAATATGCACAGCCCGCGCTGGATCCGAACGAACAAGAACGTGCCCCCAAGCTGCTGCCCTCTGCGTAAATATTTCTCCAGTGGAAACGTGTTCCCCTCCTCCCATCATCTCCCATCGCCCCACTGAAACCCGTAGGGAACGGGGCACCACAGGAAGAGAATGATTTCCATGTTGTAGTTTGGGAGCTAAGGAAAAGAAAAGGTAAGTGAGCAGTCCAAGGTCGTGCAGGAAGCCAGAGGCAGATCCGGGAATAGAGATCAGCCACCCTGGACCCAGGGATGCCTGAACAATAGCACAGCCTCTCCCTCTGTTGTCATTTAACTCCTTCCTGACCCACCAAAACCCAGAAGAGTGGTGGGCTCTGCACTCCCTTGCACATGTACAGCTGTTGGGGGCCCAGCCCACAGCCCTTACCTGCTTTTCCCCCTCCAAACCAAGGAGGGAAGGCAGCAGGGAAGGACAGGGTTGGGTATCCTGAGAGCAGTGAAGCTGCATGTAGGAGATATTTCTCTACAGTGGGCCTGAGTTGTCCCCTCAGCAATTAAAACAGCCACAATTAGCATCTTTTCATGGAAATGGTACCTCAGCTTTGCCATTTCTGTGTGCGACAAAACGTTGTTATCTCCCCTGGAGGGATTCAACTCCATTAAAATGGTCGTGGTGTATGTTTGAGGATCTTCAGCTGCAGGAGGAGAGGATATTGCTCCCTCTCCCTCTTCCCCAGCTTCTGAGTTATCCGCAAGGATTGGGGATTTGCAGCACGATCACACATCAGCAAAGCAGTTTCACTAAGTCTACACTGTTCTCATACTGAGCTTGGAAATGCTGCAGTGCAGGGTCTGGAGAAGGCAGTAATTATAAACAACTGGAGCCAAACCTTATAGAAAATAACTGGAAAAGAAGAATAATGCTCAGGTGGTGGAAAAAACCAGTGAGTGAACTGCAATGAACTGAACCTACAGCGAAATTCTCCCAGAGACAAGAGCTGAGAGAAACAGTGACCAAGTGTCCAGCGAGAGGTCTCTGAAAGGAGTTTGATGTCCTTGAGTCAGAGCCCAGTTCCAAACCAGAACTGCCATGGGGGCAAAAATCAAGACCAAACTCTTGGGTCCACTGTGTGGAAGGGACACAGACAACTATCTGCAAAGAGCTGCAGGGGCAACGAATGGGAGAAGCCCCAAGAAGCCCTTATTTCTCTGTTTTCCATCATAGTTCTCTGGTTTTTTTCCCCTACAACCCTGGTCTGTTTTCATTCACTCCTATAGACCTGATCTATGGGAGCAGAGAGGGAAGGAGGAGAACCTGCACCCTCACATCAGAGGCTGAGACAAGAAAATCATTAATCACGCCACAGCCCTTTGAACATTTATATTTTCCAGCCAAAGGCACTGTGAAATTGGGAGCTTTCAGTTCAAACCAGTTCAAGGATGTTTTCCTCAGGGAAGGTTTTGGTTACCCCATGGGGATTTCTGCCCAGATCTTTGCTCTTAGGGTAAGCAACCAAAGCTTTTCTTACAGAAAGAAGCTACATCTTATACTCCTTGGGAAAAAAAGGGGACAAATAAGCACCCAGAAGAACTAGGGCACAAAATTGCTGCCCTAGAGACTGGGGTTAAAAGGCTGCAGATCTGCACTTAGTGATGACTGCAGTAAAGCAGATGTCACCAAACACAAGTGCAAATAGTGCCCTGAGTTTGGAGATTTTTTTTTTTTCCCCCCTCAAAAAAGAGCTCCTGCACTTCAAGAGAGCAGCAATAGAACAGCAGGATGTTTGTCAAGGAAGTGTTAACATGCTAAAAGGATTCCAGCCCTTTGCAGTTGTGGCCTGACACGGTGAGAAAGAAAAGGGGAGAGATTCGAGTGCTAATAAAAACAACAGGCGTGGTTTTAGATTATACCAACATTTACCAGTTGGGGCTTGTATGGCCTCCAAAACCAGTCCTAGATTTGGGATAGATTCCCCACTAATGTTTCCGAGAACAAAGACATGTTGACATATGTAAGTCACCTAACCACCATCCAGTGTGTGTGATGTGTCGGCCAGCAGGTTTAAATCAGAGGTGAATTTGTTGCTAATTACAGCAGATTAACCTAAGAAAATGGAACCTCAATCAAAGCAATGAAGTCAAGCTTTATTTCAATGAATTTCCCTATCTAATTGCAGCTCCAGCCTGACCCTTTTTTTGTATGACTCACTAGGCACTTGGTTTCAACCAGCTTTGCCAGCACCTGCCAGTCTGGTGACAGACCATTCCCTGTTAAAATAAATGCCTGGCAGATACCAGGCGAGTGACCACAGGAGCTTGGGCACAGCTCCAGGGTAACTGCCACCCTGTGCATTAGGGTACAGCTCATCCTGCCCCACTTGGGTGGGAAAGATGCTCTGAAATGGCTTTTTCCAGCTCTGATTTTCAGAAGACTGAACTGACCACAGCTCCCTGCAAGGCTGCCATGACATAAACTACCTTCTTCTAGGTTCTATTTTTCAATTTCATGTCTGCAAATAAAATTATTGATTCTTCCATTTTGTTTCACGTTGGTCCTGAAGGCAAAAAAGTGCATTACCACCATTCCTTTCAGAATGTGACTTTTTAGGAAGATCTTGAATTCTTTTCTCCTTTTCCCTCAAGTATCGATCCCTTTCTAATGACAAACTTATGCTGAAGCTGTGAATTCATTTCAGTATTTTTCTTACTGGAAGAGAGGAACAGAACAAAGTTATCATAAAAACTGATGACAGAACTGTCTTTCAAAGACCTGTCATAAAAAGCTGTCCTTTATCTCGCTGCCGTTCACGGGGAAAGACATCTGGGATTAACTGCCCTTGTCTCTGGAAAACACTTCAGTATTTCTGAATTTGTAAAAGTACCTTTTGCTCAGACACACTGTAATAGGTGGGAAAGCTCCCTGTGCTGGGATGAAGCCATGTGCCTTTCCTTCCTCAGCCCTTACACATTTGGACTTTGGGCTTTTGGGATCACAGAGGCCTCAGGTTTCCAAAGGCCTGGTCAGGTTTGCACTATTGCCCCTTATCAGTGCCAGAACCTGGGAGAGGAGATTTAAAGCTGCAGAACCTGCAGCACAGTCAGGCCCCGTTCCTGCACAGAGCTCGTGGAAAAAGAGAGAATTCAGATTTCCCTGATCACGGCTTTGAAAGGGGCTCTGCAGAAACACCTCTTTTTCTCCTCCTCCAGGAATTCACCCATCCTTCCTCACAGTCACACGTGTCACACAGTCCTGTCATGTGCCAACACTGTTGGACAACGCTCTCAGAAACGTGGTGGGATTTTGGGGTTGTCCTGTGCAGGGCCAGGGGTTGGACTCAATGATCCTTGTGGGCCCCTTCTAACTCAGGATATTCCATCATGTTTCTGCACCTTCAACCTTCATGTGGAGATATCAAAGAGGACAGAGTTTAGGTTGGTGTAATCAGCAATGTGCACATGAAATATTGCTGTTGCAAATGGGAATTCTTTCAGGCTCATCAGGACACCCAGTGTGGAGTTCAGATTAATTACAGAGACTCCCCAAAACCAAGCCACAGGCACAGCCCGCCCAGCTCAGCTGTTCTGGAACAGCCAAATCTCTGTGTCTTGAATCTGATGGTAAAAATTGTCATGAGCTGCAGATATTGGGTGAAGCCGAGCTGAATTCACCTTCCCATTTGTCCCCTTCCACCCATCCCTGGGCACTCCAGCCCCAGGAACAGCACCCCGGGGCCCCTCAGCACAGCCCAGGGACAGCTCAGCCAGAGGATGGAGGAGGCACAGGATAGACGGACATAGAGCTCCTGGAGTGGGTCCAGATGAGGCTGCAGAGATGATGAAGGGACTGGAGCATCTCTGTGACAAGGAAAGGCTGAGGGAACTGGGGCTGTTCAGCCTCAAGAAGAGACACTGAGAGGGGACCCCATTAATGTCTGTCAGTGTCAGAGGATGGAGCAGGCTCTGCTCAGGGGTGCCCAGCAATGAGACAAGAGGCAATGGGAAGATCTGATGCCCAGGAAGTTCCACCTGGACATGAGGAAGAACTTCTTTGCTGTGCAGTGACCGAGCACTGGAACAGAGACCAGAGAGGGTGCGGAGTCTCCCTCACTGGAGATACTCCAGAACCATCTGGACACCAGCCCATGCCATGCGCTCTGGGATGACCCTCCTTGAGCAGGGAGGTTGGACAAGATGACCCACTGTGGTCCCTTCCAACCTCACCCACTGTGGGATTCTGGGATTCTGCGACAGGCAACCGAGGGGGAACCCCAGGGGTGGGGAAGGAGGGCGGAACCTCTGTCCGGCAGCGCCGCTCCCCGGCCGGGCGGCACGGGCGGGTGGACCGGTGAGGGCAGCCGCCCTCCTGCAGGGACTTCCGGTTAGCGTCACGGCGGGGCCGCCCATCAGTGGGCGTCCGGGCGGAAGTGCCCCGTCCCCGGCACTTCCGGCGGTGGCCATGGTGACGGCGGCGGAGGCCAGGTCGGGCCGGGGGGGACAGGAGGGAACAAGAGGGGACAGAGGGGGACAGGAGACACCTGGGAGCGGCCCTGTGAGGGGTGGGAGTCTGGGAAATGCGGGAGAGGTTGGGAGAACGCGGCCCTGGGACCGCCGCTCCCCAGTACAGAGTTCATTCTGTTACCGCCATTAAATACATAATTATAGATAATTATATATTACCAATATATGTGGGAGATACTCAGCCAGCTCTCTTGTTCTCAAGTTGTTTTAGGCGATTCTTGATTTGGTAAATGTCTGCTAAATAGTTTCTTTGGCATAACAAATTTTATTTTTTTTAATTTTCTAATCGTGCCACTTTTGTTTCCGTCCCAAACACCAATCGAGGATTTCTGAGTGGACCCTGTGCCAGGGCCTCAGCACCCTCACAGGGGAGATTACTGGCTTGACACCCATTCAGCGTGTGTACTGTAACATCAGTATATGCCCCAAAATTAATTACAGTAATAGAGAATTACAGCTGATTTACAAATTGCCTTTTTTTTTTTTTTTTT